AGATTCTGAAGACACTCTACCCAGAAAGGTCTACCAAGGAGGCTGGTGAGAACAGCACATGAGAAAAGTTTCTAATTGTAGCTGCTTTAAAAAAAAATCATGCATTTATAATTCCATAGCCCAAGGGAATCAGGAAATATAAATAAAATTTTAGGCATTCCAACAATTACCACTAGGTAGTAAAACAAAGGAGATGCCCCCCTCAAATGATAAATTCAACAATAATCATGTGCTTCTTGAAAAAAACACAATCATCAAACCCATAAACCCATAGTGATCACAACTGCAAAAAGCTTGGGGATACCAACTTTGTAGGAGCACCAGATGGAAAGCCAGTAAGATGTCTGCACGGATTGAAGCCATGTGGATTCTGATGGGAAATGGAGGGAAGTGATCAACAAGGAAGGAGCAGTGAAGAAACAGTGGAAGAAAAAAAACAATTCAGATGGAGATGATGGAAGACTTCTTGGTCTAAAAACATCCAGGCTACCTAAGGTAAGGTCATTCTAAGAACCTGGTATTCTCTAGTCATAAACTTAAGCCAGAGCCAATCAAATCCTTTTGTGTGTTGTTTTCAAAGCAAAGCATCCTTCCACAAATTACCTAATCATTCGCCTGTCATTTCAGCTGTCTTGTCAACGTTAAGTTTTTAATATTTCTTTCTTTAAACAGATAAGCTAGGTAGAGTATTATCAGAATAACAGAATATTTTTCAAGAGTATTTTAATGGCATTTGGTATTTTACATTTTTACAGGAATTCAAATCAGGCTAACAGCAAAGAAGAGTAGAGATTCTACTTTAACAACAGAAGACAACAATTTTAATTTCTGTACTTCTATAAATTAGCTACACAGCACTTATTCTCTTTAGTGGTTTAATAGATATCTCCAGCCTTTGCCCATTCTTATTGTAAGTATTTGTTTTAAAAACCCTTTAAAATCAACCTCCCCCCTTACCATTCTCTTAGATCTTCTAGAGGGTTCCTGATCCAAAGATGTGTGTGAATTAGAATAAAGGTGTTTGTTCCTCTAGACACATTACTCACCAGTGCCTATGAAGTGAGCGAATCTTCTAGAACTGTGTGGCCTCAAATGTGCACGAGCATATGTGGTTGCTGTGATTCATTATTCTCCCTACATGGAAGTGGTCCCTCCTTCCTGCAATGGTGCTCCTATGAAGCACTTGGGGGAGACCTGGCTTACCTGAAAGATGCTTATCTTTCAGCATTGAGAATGACTTTCAACTCTGCAATCTAAAGATGTCAGGGACACCTGGGTGGCTTGGTCGGTTAAGCGTCCTACTCTTTTAATTTCAGCTCAGGTTATGATCTCAGGCTCACGAGATCAAGCCTTGCATCAGCTCCATGATGGGTGTGGAGCCTGCTTAGAGTTCTCTCTCTACCCCTATTGCTATCCCTCGCTCAGCCCCTGTCTCTCCCTCACCGTCCCCCCGCAACTTGTTTTTTCTCTTTTGCTCTCTTAAAAAAAAAAAAAAAAAAAAGATATCAGTCACCATTTAAATTACTGGTGCTCAGGTTGGGGGTCATGATCTTATTAAGATCATGTTGACATGAAGGCATAAAGATAGTGCTGCGATGGGAATGTAGGCTCCCTCTGCAGTCACAGACAGCCCCTACTCGCATCTCAATCACTGCTACATCATCAGGACATTTTATGTAATATCTTCCACCTTCAACTGAAGAAGAGAACAGTAAATGCTATGTAGGTTCAACAAGCATGCCTGTGAGCTACAAGAGAACCACCTGCAGTGGTTCTAGGCGAGGCCAACATACAGTTCATTGGTCAACCATGTGCACACCAGGCCTGGGCTTGTTTCAGTGCTTTGGAAACATTAAGAACTTTATAATATCCAATCACAGCAAAGGCAGCGGGAGAGCTGAAATCATGCAAAATAACGGGCACATAAGGAAGAAAAGAGAAACAAAGATACTGAAAATTTGAAGGTGTAAGAACATCATTCTAGGGTACAGAGTAAGTTAACATCAGGACAACAACATCTACATGGAACTCAGCCTTGCCTAGACATGCACCTGTCATTTACATCACGTCACTCTGGATAATTAATATGTGTGTTTATAAGCACCAAGTCAGCACACAGCCTCTTTACAAATATAAGGCTTTCTCCACTCACCTCTCACTAGCCATTATCACATGCGACCCTGACAGTGAGGTCCTAGTGGGCAGGAGTTGCTTGCATTTATTTTACTTAATGTAGCAACTACTGCCTTCCCTGGCACTGAATCAGTGCTGAGTAGATGATAAATACCTCCTCAATACCAAAATGCAAGATATCAGGTTTGAATTTGAAAATATATATGAAGATTTATCTGATTACTTGGGGGAAGAAATTTAACAATCTTACAGCAAACCACAAAGATCTCGAAGTATTGAATGTTATTAGACTTAAAAAACAGCAACACTATCTTCCTCTCCATTGCTTGAACAAAGATGTATAAATGCATATGTGGACTTATGAGGGAAACAAAAGAAGCTGCTCAACACTGTTGGCATCTAAAAAAAAATTCTGTTCTATTTTACGTTATCTACCTTCTGTGCTGTGTACACAGGGCAGCAACCCAAAATTTTTAGAAGGATTTATCAGATAAAATATATCTTTGCATGTGAACTAGTCATCATGCCCTAGAAATACTTTAAAAATTTAAAACCTGCATTTCACACTGAGGTGTTCTGCTGGTTTGTACACCAATGGGCTTTACCTGCCTAACTGGTCTTACATTTCACAACAGTTTATAGAGCTGGAAAGCACAGAAACCTTCTGCATAGCACATATTATGAACTGGTTCTTCCAGGACTCACAGAAACATTTTTAATCTTTGTTTTCCTATAAGAAAGGTGACCTATACAGTAAGACCTGGTTGGGCTGGGCATGCGTGGGCAGGATAGAAGGAGGAGAGGGTTGATTTGATGGTGTAGCTATAGTAGAGGTATCGCTACAAGAAAATATACTGTCCAAGAGGACAATCACAGAAAACAAGGGATTAACCACGGAAGTGGGTACGGTTCAAGAATGGCTCAAGTGACCTCAGTATTGCATAAGGCAAACTGATCATGGTTTAGATGCAGAAAGGGTATAGATAGATAGAACCCAAGGAACCTGCCCACAGGGCAGTGCCCAAAACAGCCCTCTGTTCATGCGAAGAAGACCCATATACTATAGGCCTCCATCCCATAGAAAAAGAATTGCATGGATATGGATACAGACTTTATTTGGCATTAAAAATGTCTACTATGTGCCAGAACCCATGTTAGGGGCTTCATTTAATGACTACTTACAATCTTAATGGTATAGACAGAAGCTGCTATCCCCATTTCACAGGTAAGAATACTGAGGCTGGAAAGTTTAAATAACTCCATCACCATTATGCAGCTATTAAGTAGAGACGGGACTCAAAAGCACATAGTTTTGATGCTAGTGAATGAGTTTTTAAAACATGATGCTCAACTGATTTATGAAAGTAATCAGGGAAAAGAGATGTAGTGGAAAAACAATGGGGAGATCAACCAAATACATAAACAGATAACTTACAAAATATCAGACCATGAGCCATGGTAAGAAATATGTTTTGTAACATGACCAAGTTACACACCCACTATGCCTCTCTATATAAAAGCAACTAAAAAAAGGTCCTACCAAAAACAAACAAACAAACAAACAAACAAACAAAATTTACCCTTATTATGAGTAATACACTCTGGTATATTCTGATTATTTTTTCCGCTCCATCATTATTCTAAAAGTACTGGCAGGATTTACTAAAATTATTTCATGGCCCACTAGTAGGTCAGAACCCACAGTTTGAAAAACAGTGCCATAACCAATCCTAATGACCACCACTCTTACGGTTTCTGAGGTTTAGGTAGAATATTGGGTTTTTCAGTTTTCCATAAATAATCTTCCATTTGAACCTTTATCCATGAAAGTAAAGGGGGAAATGTAGTTAAAAGGTAGTGAGAGCACTGGATAGAATTGTCTATCATATGTCATATGCTAAAAAGAGAGGTGAAATTAACATACTCCAAACAAGAATGGGTCCATCTCAAAGACAAAGAAGCTTGCCCCAAAAGGCAGAGGTTAAAGACCCATGATGGGAAAGGTTCTGATGTCTTAAATATTCCTTTGAGTTGTCAGAAAGATATCATTGTCCAACAATGACTCACTGATGAAAGAAACACTGGTATGTAGACTTCAGGCAAATTTTAAGACTGAAAGAAAAGTCACATACCTACTGCTTAGGTTACTTTCCGCCCAAAAAAGCACCACGTCTCCTCTCAGTTACTGTTTCAAGACACTTGATGGTTGACACTACTTCAATTTGATGTGAATTAATAAAAAGCCTGGACAGTATTATCCAATGGAAGGATACAATGTTTGGCTTCTAGCTATAGAACCAACATACGAGCCAGAAGAAAAACTCACTATGACCAGAATAAAAAAGAGAAAGAAAGTATGGAAGTTCATAAAGGTACTAGCTTGGAAATGGTCTCAGTGAAAACTTTTGTTACCATGGGGATTTCTGGGAGGGAAAGAAAGGGGGTCTCTTCAGAGAAGTGACTGATGCTATTTATTAATCTATTTGCAAGTCATGTCAAATTTTAAAGTTGCTCCAAAGAAAATCACATTTTTTTTTTTTTTTGCATCAGCCTTTTAATATGCTGGAGGAACCTGTTCAAAACGCTTCAGCAGTGATGTAACTTAGATGATAAATGTGTTCTTCAATCTGTGCACCAGTCAAGTAGCAATAAAATCAGAATAATTCATGCAAAAATTTTCATTATGTTTCTCAACATACTTATTTACATTTTAAATCACACATTAGACAATATGAAATATCTTTCATTTAGACAGGTGTGAACTAGAAAACAGATGCATTCATTAGACACAGAACAATTCGGCGAATTAAAAAAAAAAGTACTCAGAGAACTCTCTGGTTGAAGTACTTGAGCCACCATTAACTTACTTGAAAAAATATGGCCATGGCTCCGATTATTCTGTTTTCTGAAATTGCGGTTTGAAAGCTGTCAAAGTCATCTGGATTATAAAAGAAAATCTGCATCTGTAAAAGACAATTAAAATATGTATTAGGAAGATTTCAAGCCTAGACACAAGTAGACAGAATAGCACGAGGGACCCAGATTCCTCACTTCCTCAGATTTGGCCAAATATATTCACCTATCCATATTTTTCCTTTGCTAAAGTATCTAAGAGCAAACCCCAGACACTGTATCATTTTCTCCTTACAAACCGCACAATCACACATTTTCTCACAGAAGTGCCGTCCTGCTACTCAAAAGAATGCTGACACCTGATTGCCTGATATTCGTGTCATGGTGAAAGTTCCCATAGTATTACGGAGCAAAATTTTAATGGAGTAAAACATCCTGAAGTTAAAAAAAAAAAATAACTAAGCCTATGAGATGCAGTTCACATGCTTAAATTATAGATACTTAAATGGGCACATCTTTATAAGCAATACTCTTGGAGGAATTTGAAGGGGGCAATAGCCCAAATGGAGTCTTTCAGTGAATCCACAAGAAATTTCATGGTAATAATAATACTTGACATTTTCCAATTTGCAAAACTGTACCATAGATTATTTTACTTAATTCATGTAACAATCAATCCCTATGAAGAAAGGGCAGAAATGACTACCCTCAGTGATTTGAAGAAATCAGATGAAGACACAGTGCTTCAGAAAGTTGATGTTAACTTGGCTAAGATTGAACATCCGAGAAAAACTATAAAATCCAGCTGCTCTCATTGGAACTGTAAATACTTTCTCTTATATTTGGGTAGGGTTTCTTACTCAAAAGCAGAATACAGACAAATCAACTTAAAATCATTACATGATCTTAATGCGTGAAGAGTCTTTGCTATTTAGTACACTGCAGAGAGCAAATATGGACCATGGAATGTTCTCGAAAGAATACATACATAATACAAAGAACAGCTTTGGGTTTTATTCTAGCTTCTTCATTTACTTGCCTGTAGACCTCACACAAACAAGTCTAATTCAAAGTATCAGCTTCCTCATGTATAGAATCAAGTATTTACCCTTGGTAGGGTGGGTGTGGAGATCCAACAAGTCACTGTAGTGTACAGTATGTAGAAGCATCATGCCTACACTTCAACTGTGCCAGCAAATCACTATCATCATCATCATCATCATCATCATCATCATATTTCAAGGTTAGCATCTGGCAGACACTGTAAAATTTCTAATAAGACTGTGATTCCCCTGAATCTTCTGGAATGACCCTACTCCTTACAGAAAATCCAATCTCCTCTATCATTCATCAGGTCCTCCCTATTTTCCAAATGACATGATGCTATTCTCCACAACAAACTGAACCACCACACCCCAGAGTGAATTTGCAGATAGGATACTGAATGCTAAATTCCCAGAGGGGGAAGCTAAGTCAGAAAAACTAGCTCAAGTATAGGTCAAAGGTTAAACAGAGCTAAATTACTTGAGACTGTTAAGAATAAAGTGACACTTCTTTTCTGAAGGCTAAAATCAGGTGGTCCAATCAGGATACTTTCTAGGAAAAGTCAGGCACCCAAGTGGATGAAAGAAAAATGGGTAGATTCCTTTGAAGGACTTTCCTTCTTACAGTGAATTATTTTTCTTACACTGTGAATTCTCACTGATTCTGGCAGCCTCTTAAAAATGTGTTGCCTTTAGGTTTGGACAGCTTTAGACATCATGCATTTACACTGAGAACACACCTTTCAATGAGGTGCAGATTAAAAGAGTTTAATACTTAGGTGAATTGCTTTGGGTACAATGCTGCGAACACAAGAAAGAAACACTACACAAGTATATTCAGAAAATACACCTCAGTTTCCTTTTAAAACTCAGTCCCTCAAATTAAGTAAGTTCACAGAAGTTTTTCTTATTCTACAGCCCACGAGCAGCAGTGGCATTGTTTAATGCATCACCTGAATAGTGTGTGATACAAAATACTTTAAGACCTCTTCAAGGGCATTTTCATTTATGACCGGGTGAGGAAATTCATTTTCAGAAAATGTCTTTGAGTCATGGCTCCACCCAGCAGAATAATAAAATGTCTCATAAAGAGAACAGTAGCAGAAGTCTGAAATATCAATTTTCCTTGCTTTTTCTCTCGAGTTGTAGCCTGCTGAATTAGGTTAACTTTTGAAGCTATCTTAAATATGAAGAGTAAGGAGTGGATGGAGTTTTGCTGAGTGAACTGGACTTTAAAATCGCTTTGTTGTTATTGCTGATGAGATAAATGGGGGCAGAAGCTGAACACCTGTTTCCCAAAACCATCTCTGAAAGGTGTTGGGTTGTCTATAAAATATAATCAGGAGCCCACTGGCTTTCTGTATCTGACCTCAAAAGCCATACCCAGAGTCCTCTCCCATCACAAGAGTGTTCTTCCTAATAAAGTGAATCTAAGTCATGTTTATTTGTATCAGTGTATCAGTCCTTCTCCTGAAAAATCACGGTACACAACAACTGAAGGAAAAGACTGGGAAAGTCTGGCAACAGAATGGTCTATGAACTCTTCCACGCAGCCTTTACCAGGAACCCCGATTATTTATATTTTATCCCATTTGCATTCAATCTCTCTCTCTCTCTCTCTCGTCTGCACATACAGATACACAATTTCTTTTTATGAATCACCGGGTAGCAAGTGGGAGAAAATATGCCCCTTTACCGCTAAATACTTAAGTGTATAATTTCTAAGAATCAGGACAGTCTCTTATATAAGCACAGTATAATTATTCAAATTAGCAAATTTCACTTGATGCAATACTATTATCTCATTCACAATCCATTTCTAATTTTGGCAAATGCCCAAATAAAGTCCATTACAGATCATTATTCTGGTTCTTAGTTCAGGAATCCAATTTAGAATCAAACTGTGCATTTCGTTGTTACATCTCTTTATACTGACCCCTCCCGCCCCCACACCCATCTGGGACAGTTACTCAGTCCTCCTTTATTTGAACAGTGTGAAGTGTGCAGGTCAGTTGTTAGGTACAATCAGGGTCTGTCTCATAGGTTCTCATGATTGAATTCAGGTGATGCATTCAGGGCAAGTTTCCACAGGACTGACATTGTCTTCATGACGCACCATATCGGGAAGTACACCCTGCGGATTTCTCCCAATAGGAGGGGTGTTTAACCTCATCGTATGGTTAAGTTGATGTCTGGCGGCCTTCTCCACTATCAAGTCATTAATTTTCCTTTTATAATTAAAAACAGTTTTTAGGGAGCTACTTGAGATTACATAAATACACTGTTCGTCATTGAACGTTCATCTGCTAGTCTCAGCATTCATTGATGAATTTCTAAGTGCACTACCCCCTCTATGGGCATGAATGGGATTCTCGTGAAAGGAATAGCTTTCCCTTCTCCACAGTTTATTTATCCATTCATTCATTTATTTAAATCCACATGAAATCACTTATTTTGTCTTATTCAATGGGTTATAATACATTACCATTATTTATTTTAATGTACAAACTGTCTCAATAGATCTTTTGCACACTAGGAACCCTTCCAAATGTACTCTTGTCCTTCTGCTATGTTCTCATCGTTTTATATTTTTTATATTTTATATTTTTTGTATATTTATATTTTATATTTTTACATGTTATATTTTTTAGCATCTCCTTATTAGCTGACACAGACGTTCTAGACTGATCTTGTATTTTCCCCGTTCCAACACTAAAATTGGTCATAACTTGGGTGAGTTCTGGTTCCTTTTAACAAGGAATGGTATTTAAAAGCATTATATCCTTACGTCAGTATTTTCCAAATATGTTTCCAATTAGAACATTTGGTCCTTCAAGAAAACTATATACCTTAAGGCTCAGTAACTCTATTCCAACCAGGACCTTCCTTCCATGGGAAGGAGAGCTGGATCAACTTCATATAAATGGGTGTCATTCTACCATGCAGAGTGTCACGAGACACATAAGTCTCCTTAGTCCCAGAAACAAACCATATTAAGATCAACTAAAAAGGGGCACCTGGGTGGCTCAGTGGGTGAAAGTCTCTGCCTTCAGCTCCGGTCATGATCCCAGGGTCCTGTGATTGAACCCTGCATCGGGCTCTCAGCTCAGCAGGGAGCCTGCTTCCCCCACCCCCTGCCTGCCTCTCTGCCTACTTGTGACTGTCAAATAAATAAATAAAATCTTAAAAAAAAAAGATGATTAACTAAAAAGCCACTGGTAGACTATGTACCAGTGCACAGTCAAGGGACCAGTTCTTCAAAATCCTTCAAATTCATGAACAAGCCTCACAGACCCGGATGGATCATTTAGTTCTACCTTGTAAAATGGCTGGACGGGAAAAATATTTCTCTAGCCAGGTCAGGGTGATAGAAAAAACAGAGGATCACATAGTATGACCTGACATTTGTAAAACAGAATTTCACAAAGAGGAAAAGCCCTACCAATGACCAGGAGGCTTATGCCAAAATATGGGTATGGAAAGTGCCTGAATGAACAGTAAAACCTCCAAGTAATGGGAGGGGGATGAAATGGATAGTGTGAGCATAAGTTTGACCAAGGTCAATGCTCCACTGTTGAAGGGTACTAGCATGATGCATAGAGAGTCACAACAAAATGCCCACTTAGCGTCTTCCCCTTTCTCTTGCCTTGAGCCATTTTCCCCCCTCATAGTTAAAATGACTCTAGGTGCAATTTGATAGAAAAACTATCTTTATGCCTGGTTTCCAACTGTATCACTAGTTGTGTTAAGCTGAATGAATGCAAAGCAACAAATCTGAAAACTAGATCCTTCTATATTTTTATTAATTCTGTTATGTTCTACATATTTAGGGAGTCCTCACTGTATGCCAGGGACTGTGCTATCATGCATGAATAGTCACTGAGGCAGGTACCACCATGATTTTCACTTTACAGCCAGAAACCCAGGATTTCCAAAATTTAGAAAGCAGTTAACGAAGAGGGAGAGGGACTGTCATAGGAACTTAATCTTTCTAATCCTAGAGTTCAGGTCTTAATTACAGGGCTTCCTTACAAGGACAAGTGTATTTGCTTACTACCCATTATGTA